GTTCACTGAGTAATGAGAACATTTCACCTGAAGGAGGCGCCACACTCTGCTGATGTGTTTGATCCATTTCAGTTATAAATAATTAATCAACTAATTGACTCAGAATTTGTCAATAGGGATAAAATATGGGATGGTTTGTCTTAACTTTCTTTTGTTTTATATGAATGAATCAATATTATCTAATAATTTATCCTTTTAAACAAAGATCAGCTAATTAAACAGCATCAGTGTAACTTTCTCTCACACTAGTTAACATTTATTAATTATCACCACATTATATTATATCAGCACTTCATCAAACATGTTTATCGAATCAACACGTCACTGAGTGAGTTTTATGTTTCATTAAATGAAGCCAAGTTTCCAAACATGCAGCAGACGGCACAGAAGATGCTGCTGTTGTTTGTCTCTACGTGTGTGAACAGACTTTTAGTGATGAACACCAACAAAGTACCTCACAGGTCACAGTGAGTGATGAACACCTCACATCTGTTCTGAGAATTGACAACAAAACTAACAGCAGACTTTGATGCAGCGGCAAAGAAGGATGATCGACTGCACTGTTCCCATTAAAAGTCAATGTGAGTATCAACACTGTAAAGCCTTTTATGTTTATGGTTGATATGTTTGCATCTGGTGCTGCCAGACCCGTCTGTCAAACTATAAAGTCAATGGTGGATGTCAATGGTCATAAAGAGGAAAGTAAACCACAAAGACGTGTTGGATAATTCAGAGAAAAGATACTGCAACAAACTAAGATTGTTGAATTGTTTGTTAAAATAAATATTGAGTTAAACTCATCATGAAGTCACCTTAAAAATGTCAGCACTCTGTAATAAGATGTGTAAATACTTTAGATATAAAAACCTTTAAATGAATATAAACTCACTGTGTATAGTGATGTTGGCTGCATTGCTGGACTGTGTTACAGACTCACACCAGTACACTCCACTACTCGCTCTAGTGTCGGTGTTGCATGTGGATCCAGTCATTTCTCCCCAGTAATAACAGGTTGACCTCTTGCCATCTTCATCAACCTTGATCACTCTCCACTCAGTAGAGTTTCCCTCACAGATCAGTGACAGTGACTCTGTGCTGAAGTGCTGCAGTCTGTGAGGACTCACTGTGAGAGACGCTGCTGGATTCACACCTGAAGACACATCATTAGGAGACACACACAGGACAAACAATGTCAACACAAAAAGGACATTTATTCCCTTGTGCAAGAATATAAAAGTCTGAACAAACTCACCTCCAGACCAGACAAACTTCAAATCACTATACTGAGTGTAAAACACAGGATCTCCTCTTCCAGCTCTGCACACATATCCTGCTGTGTGTGTCTGTCCATGAAGAATGTAGGAATCCTGTTCAGTCCCAGTGGTGCCACCAGCTAGAAGCTCATAGGTGTAGTAGGGGTAGTAGAGGTAAAATGACAGGTCTGGAACAGCCTTATACCAGAAGAACCTCCATCCTGCAGACGGAGGTTCAACACTGCAGGTCAGAGTCACTGAGTCTCCAGGACTCGTCCATGATGGAGACACTGTGAGGACAGGACGAGGGACACCTGTTGGAAAGAGGTTTGGAAATGGTGATTTCATGTGTGTGTTGATGGTTTGTGTCCATCTCAATAAGTGTTTTGTCTTTGTAGAAGTCAGCATTCTTCTCCTTTCTCTGGTCTCCATGTCGACAGTGAAGAGTCACTGATTCTCCTTCATACAAGGAGGACGCAGGAGTTAAAGGATCACATCTCTGTCTGTGTAACAGTTACTTCTTTGCTTTACTAAATCAGTTTCATTAAATGAACAATGATACAAGATATCAGTGATTTATGTTTCCTACATAATTATAATTTAAGATAAAGTTGCAGACAGAAGAAGATGTCAAAGTTAGTCTCCCTGTAATAAATAATAAAAGGTTCACTGAGTAATGAGAACATTTCACCTGAAGGAGGCGCCACACTCTGCTGATGTGTGGCCCTGCTGACACCTGCTGCTGCCATCATCATCATCATTAGTATTTAAAATGGTTTGTCTTAACTTTCTTTTGTTTTATTTGAAATGATCAATATTCTCATAATTGATCCTTTTAAACAAAAATCAGCTAATTAAACAGCATCACTGTCAACTTCCTCTTAACATTCATATAGTATGAGGGGCCGTTTAGGACTTAACTATGAAACACTCTTACGTTTGCTATTGAAATGCTCTCGTGCACACTACTGAGACACTTACACACACATACATACATACTGCGTAAACCTATGCACGTGCATATATAACACATTACACATACTAGTGTGTATGAATGAAATCTCACCAGCAGACGGAAGCATCTCAGTTACAGCGGAAGACGGAAGCAAAGAGGGCAGATTTTGAACAGCGATAAGCGACAATCTTACGCCCTTCCTTTATATGCTTTTAAGTCTGGACTCGCCCGTCCTTCTGTAGGTCCAACTTTATAAATATACCATGTTTAAGTCACGGAACGTCGTTGTAGGAGTTGTGTGTCGGTGTGTTGGGGCTTGTGTGTTAGTTGTTCTGCAGTCGGTTGGTCAACATTCAGCTTTCGTAACAAGTTGCTCCGAGGTTGTGGGAGATGTGAGGTCCAGTTAACGGGACCGTCTGACTCCTCCAGCACCGGGCGGTCAGCTCATCTCACGCCGCAAAGAGCAGCCTGTTCTCAGCCAGACGTCTGTGAAACGCTCCGCTTGTATTACGGTGACCAGAACCGTCCGGATTTTCAATGCCCTGTATTTACGTTCACTAGTGAGATCTGTGTGTATATTACACAGCAGTGTGTGTGTACGCGTGTGTGTTCTCATATGAAGGTGTTGAGTCGTCTTGAGTGAATGTATCAAAATAAAGAAAGTTGTATAGAAACCTTGAGCGTGTCCACAGTAGAGGAGAATATTCAGCGCTAAAATAAAGTGAGAAACATCATCAAACTGACAGAAACTATTAACTTCTGGCATTTAAAAAGTTGTATCCATGAAAACTATGATTTAAACAGAGAAAGTACTCACAGAAAAGCCCCAACGCACCAAACAAGGTGTGTCCCATCCTCACGTCCACGCTGACACTCAACTTGTGAGAAACGATTCCGCTTCGTGTCAAGAGACAGTTTGAAAGTTGTGAAACATGCAGAGAAATGTGGAAATGCAGAAACAACAGATGAACATCAGATGTGAGGTTTTCTCTGACTTCTGCTTCTGCTGATGTGGTGCATTCTGGGACGCCTCTTCCATCAAAACTGAACTGCAGCCTGAGACGTGTAAATTAAAGTTAAAAAAACATTTTGCATTCCGTTTTTTAGGGTTGTTTATCTTTTTTGTATTTTGCATTCGAAAAATAAAAACTCTACAGTCCACTATACATTTAGAGAAGGTATAAATCGGCAGAACCTTTAAAACACATCAAAAGAGGAAACAGTTAAGACTCTTTCACAATCCACCTCACTTGCATAAGACGTAATGGAGAAAATGGAGATGAGAATTTCCACCAACTCTTTAGTTCCTCATCTGCAACAGCAAGTTGAGAGAAATTAGAGAAAACAATTCAGTTTTACTACATATCTACAAGGTATATATATATATATATATATATATATATATATATATATATATATTAGCCAATGATACAACATACATCACACAGATAAATAGAAATACAATTAAAAACCTTGTGACACTTAGTGCAGGATGATGTCACTACTTGAGGTGACACTTAATAAACTCCAGTGCAAGATGATAAACACATAAACCGCCTTCTTATGAACCTGTATGAATGACCCGTGATCAACAATTCATACATTAACTAGTTTAATCATGTTTGTTCTGGTAGTCGTGACATTGACGTATTTTATCAACAGTGACTTTAATGCGGCCTTTTGGATTTTAGACTCAAACTCCAACAAACACCTCACAGCTGAATGTTTTAACAAAAGAATCGGTTCTAGTGACGCTGATTTAAAAAAGAAAAAGGTGAAATAAAAGAAAACAAAAGGATTAAATGAAAAAAACTTTTGATACTTTGTGCTTTAGAGAAAACTCTACAGTCAGAGACTGAGAAGAAGAACCACAAGGCTTCTCAGAATAACCTTTCCTGTTCCCCTTCACACATAAAAAAAGACGTGTTGCTGTTGGTTGTGTGGTGTCACATGACCACGTTCACACCAGGGCTCATCCGCTTCTACAGACGTGTGATACTCTGTGGTAAGATAACAGGTTTTAATTCTAACAAGTAGACATTAATTAAGTTCCATAAACTGCTAAATCAAATAATGTAGAACAAATGCAGTCCTGGACTAAAGGAGGACTCGTAGGTGTCCTCTGAGGACATTTCAGACTCAGCTGCTCGGTGAGGTACGGGGAGGCTCTCTGGGAGCCCGGTGCCTCTCGCTCCGCCTCGCGTCGTTCCGTACGCACGCCGCCATCGCCCTCAGGTGACCTTGTCTCCTCCCTCTTGGGTGGTCGATGGCGCTGCTGGTCTGGCGGGGGGCCGGGGCGCCTCCACGTTTTCATAGCAGGCCTCGGCTTGGCTGGAAGAGGAGATGGAGACTCTCCACTCAGGGGGGGACGAGGCCTCCGCCTGCTGGCCTCCTTCTATCTGAGCAGCAGGCGTCTCCACCTGGAGACAACGCGGTTTGCAACAATGTGTCAAACACACGCTACGACGAGACGTCTCCTCGTGTCACACTGAAGCTCTATTTCACATCCTGGAGGAAGGTCAGAGTTCAGAGCATCTGGAGAGTAAAATGCTGAGGTCACGTGACTCACCTGATGAAGACTGTATTCAGTGGAAAGGAGCCTTTTGGCCGCGATGAGGGCAAAGACAACAATTGTCACTTACTACAAAAGAGGTTCGATGTCTCTTTAGGATTTATCAAGCCTGGAAGGACATGCAGACCCGTTTTGACAGACCGACACAACCGAGTTATTAAACGATGAGCCAGTGGCCCAAAAAACAAAAAAGCTTTGTTTTTTTACCGTGTGAATGAATTTATTAATCGTATATTTAGTTTACGCTTTGCTGCATAAATAAAGACGAAAAGAATCAAACGATCTCCTGTCATTCTCATAAGGAAACAAAGTCACGTGTCTGCAGCTCAGTGCAGCTTAATGACAAACAACAGGAAGGAACAACGACACAACCTCGGTTTAAACTTCGGGGGAAACGGACCGGCCGACGGGAGGGGCGCTGCTGACGCGCGCTCTGTATCCGGTGTGTACGCGCACGTGCCTGCGTGCGCGCGCGCGCAGCGGCGTGGAAGGTGGATGACCAGCAAACTGCTGCAGCTTCACACGCGGCAGACTGTTAGCTGCTGCATGATCGGTGTAAATAAAGGTTTTCAATCGGCTCAGACACCGAAACGAAGCACCTTAGTGATAGTGACGGGACAACCGACTCTATTATGCGAGTCGGTTCAACCGGACGGTCGTTGGTTGGACTACCGAGTTCTGCTCGGTTACATCCGGTCTCGTTCAGCAGCCCGGTGTGCGGTCTCCTCGGTTGACGCGGTCTCGGTCTCCACGGTCTCTTCCGGTCATTTACATCGCGTGCACCGCATGTGTTAACGAGTAGGCTACACGCGATGTCTAACCCATGATAGAAATATTCCTGCCTAACCTAATGGGAGTGGTGAATTGGTAGACCTAACCCAGCCTACCTAACTTGCCGTTAATTTTCATTCGGCGAGAGTTCGTTAACTTCTCGGTCAAAGTGCAGGACCGGTCACCTCATGACTTAAACACGGTGCACTGCGTTATAAACAGCTGTCATGCACGAAATATCCTACTGCAAAGTGGTGTTTTGTAAACACAAACATTAAATAGCAAAATTGTATCACAGCGTTTTATTCGATGCACTGATACATACAATGGCTCATGGGATCGTCTCTCCACGTTAGTAGTACAGCATTCAGTGATTGAGTCTCACGGTCACACCGCAACCGCGCTTCAACAACTCGGTTCAACTCGGTTGTCGCGGTTCTTTTCTTCTTCTTCTGTTTGTTGGTAGACGACTATCTCTGCAGTACACCGCCACCAACTGTACAGGAGTCTCTTACGGTTCGGTCGTGCGCGATCAAGGCGGCCCACTTCCTGGTTGATTGTACCACCGCTCCAGTGGAGGCGCTGGTGAGCTGGATCAGCCCGCGACTCGCAGAAGAAGACCAGCGATCGCGCGCTCGAGCTCACTGAAGCGCGGGCACGAATGAGTGGTTGAAAGCCGGAGTGAGTCGGTTCATGGACGTTTGGCACCCGATTCTCCCGCTTCAGGTACACGAATCGGGTCATTTAACCGGCTCTTCGGTCGGTTCGTCAACACCACGTAGTGATTAAGGAGCAGTGAGCTGCTGTGAAGCTTCAGGGTCTCAAGGACACTGAGACATGCAAACTATGGAGAGAACCCGGATCGAACCGCACTGTAAAACATCACAGCCCTGTTTAGTTCCACTCACTTCTTCTCTTTACCTCAAAGAGCTCTGACAAGATGTTTTTCAACTTGAAACTTATGTAGCGGGTACAGATATGTACTACGGCTTTAAGACTCACGTGAACGCGGGAGAGGCAGAGAGAGAGGAAGAACGGGGGTACGAGCGGCGAAAAGGGGGAGCGGGAGAAGTTTTTGGGCTCCACGGGCGCGTCAATTGTTTTTTTTCGGTAAGGAATATTGTCAAGTGGTCGTATCGAGTGACACGTTCCGAACCAGTAACGCGGTTACGTTTGGGTTTTCGTTTTAATTGATGGTGCGAGCGCCGAAGTCGGGCTGCATTAGATTAAAGTGACACGTTTAAACCAGTAACGCGGTTACGTCTGGGTTTACGTTTCCTCGGATAGCGCGAGCGCCGAAGTCGTGCGGCGTTAGAGTGAAGTTAAAGTTAACTGTTGCATTTAGTTGGGTCTAGATGGCGGTGCACCGATGAAGCTGACTGGAGGAGTGTTCAAGAAGAGCAAGCCGGGACATCAACATCTCGAGGTGCAACGTGCTAAAAGCTCTGTCCACCTCTCCCCACTCCGTGCGTGAGCTGCGCGGGAAAGGGGGCGATTGACGTCAGGACAACACGTTTCATTGGAGGTTTACCCTGCCAGCCATCGGACGTCCCGCGACGTGTGACCTCTGCGGTTGTATGGGTAATCACTGCACCACATTTCAACACACTGATCCATGAACCAGCAGGCGGCGTGTGCAGCCGAGCAGGACTGTCTGTGAACTGGACGAACTTGCCGCTGTGCGCCCTCACACACACCCGAGCACGCAGACGCTAACAGCACCTACTGAACTGTACAGCAACGGAGCTGACACCAACACTAACACGCACACACGCACCCATACACACCGGAGTGACCCGGTTAGCTCAGGCGGACTGGCACAGCAGATGCTGAGTAACTGTTTATTTTGCCATCTAAAGTAAGTTTATTGAAATGTGAATGTGAATGTGAAATGCCTTTAGAAGTGAGCTATATTCTCTGTTAAAGTTACTGTTCTGGTTAAAGGGAGCCATTTTTAGTTGTCATAAGGGTGAACGTTGCTTCCCCAGGTTCCATGAGAACTTACAATAGACGGGTATGGCTCACTAAGTGTCAAGTTAAGCACCCAAGGTTTGATGATGAGGTGAAACCGAGGTATTGAGTAGCCATTCGTGAGGTTTATAGGTGACTATATTAATGAAACCATTCCATATAACTGTCTCGTATTTGAATATGTTTTCCTTGTGCTCTGTGTTTATCCTTGAGTAAACAATCGAGGAAATAACAGCTGTACGTGTTTGTTTAACTTAGTCTAGTATATTGGGCTGCTTATCCGGGGTAGGGGCGCCTCACCTGTTTAGCTAGACCTGGGTAGAGTGGGGAGGGGGTTACCTCACGCACCCCACACACACTTCAGACGACCACCTACTGAAGCCCACTTTGCCCCGTCTAAGAAGCTACCGTCCAGTCTAGCTGCTAAATAGTAAACAACCTGTTCACTCGCCTGAGCATCGAGGCCACAGGCATTGAGTGTGGAGGACCCAGATCCTGTCCCACTCAGTCCTCCCCAGAGTAAGTGTTTTATAACCCCTATAAGGCGGCGGTAATAATCCCGACCGCTACACTTAGTTAAACTTACAGTAATGCTTTGTGTTGACTTATTCTTATTATTAATTCCATTATTCCATTATTAATAAAAGCTCACAAAATGTCGTTATTTTAATAAAAATTCAGCATGGACCTTTTTGTTTGTGGGGCCCGACAGAAAAACCCGAGAAGCATCCGGCCTCCAGTCGAATGAGTCGTAAAGGAGAGGACCACAAAGGAGCCGCGTACCTTCTTGTTCTCTGTAGGCCGCCGTGGCTTTACGTGCATGGAGAAGCAGCGTTCACTTTTTCAGCTCCACACATCTGGAACAAAGTCTCAGAAAGCTGCAGGTCTGCTGGGTCCCTCAGCTCCATTAAATCCAAATCAAAGACGTTTCTTTTTGCTGCTGCCTTAAATTTCTGTAAGTCGGAATTCTTAAAGACATTCTTAAATTACATTACATACAATTTACTTTTTTTTCCAAATCTTTTAACATCTTTATGTATCATTTTAATGTCCTTTTCTTTCATGTTTAACTGTTTATACATCTCCTTGCTTTTTGTTTGGATGTTTTTAATGGTTTTATGTGAAGCACTTTGAATTGCCTTCTTGTTGAAATACAAATAAAATTGCCGTGCTGGACCCTCAGCGCTCTCTGCTGGTCAGCTGCAGCTTCACGCTGTGTGTTTCTCCTCCATCCGCCTCTTTAGCGGCTCACGCGTCTCCCTCCTTTTTTTATTTTTAGAGAAGTTGTTGCAGTGATGTAATGGAGCGTAACGGAGTACCTGTGCTCTTCTCTCTCATTGCTTCCGTAAAAAGGTTTCCGCCACACTTGATGATGCCTGTGGTCCTCTCTCCTCTGCAGGATCTGAGACCTCTGGTGGTTGTGGTGGTGAACCGCCGGCGTCTCCAGAGCGACGGTGCGTTTAGGGACCAAATGCGGATGCAGAGGGTTCAGTCTATGAATACTCCAGAGGAGAGCAGATTTATGGGAGTATTTTTTTACCTCCAGTGAACCCAATCGTCCTTATTACGCAACGGGAGAGTCAGCCGACGCACCAAGTGTTCATGAATCTGCTCACCTGACAGCTCGTCCACAGCCGGGAAGAGTCTGTGATGGGGGGAAAGGTCACGGGGGAACATGCAAGGGGTGGAAGCTGTGCAGAGGGCGGCTGTGGCAAGATTGAGATGGACTGAACCACAGCACATGTATGAGATGCTAGTAACTTTAAAACAGACCCCTAAAAATAAGGGGGGGGGGGTGTTTTCCTACGAATTCTCATTTTAAAGTTAGGGTTAGGAGCCATTTACGTTTATTGTTGGCATGATATTTTATTTAGTTTGGATGTATTTATATTAGTATTTTGGACACTAGGTGGCAGTGATTAGATGCACGTGGTTGGATATGAGGGGCACAGGTGACAGGAAGTGGGGAACACAGGTTCATCGGTTTATACTATTTAATGCAATAAAATCACAAACTTCAACTGAATCGTCGGAAAGTCTTTGTGTGTCCGCGTATCAACTTCACTCCTACCTGTGCTTGGAGGGCAAAGATACACTCTCACTGGAAAGAAGGCTAAGAAGGCTATACTTCTTTTATAATATTAAAAATAAATTTATATATATAATAAATAGCCAATATTTTGTGTATTTGTCAACATTTGAAACATGGAATAATCCCATATATAATATTGGTTGACAGCCCTACCACGTCAGAGCCAGGAGAGTTTGGCCTCCGGGTTTTACACTGAGAACAAATATCTTTTTCAACATGTTGAAGATTCAACATTGTGGTACAAAGACCGACGGGTGACATCACATTGACTACATCAACTTCTTTGTATTGTCTTTGTACAATAACGTATTTTATAAAAGTACAATATAAACCTTAAATACAGGTAGCATAAAGTAAGCTACTTACCTGTGATGAGACGACTACGTGCCAATGATTACATGCATAGTGCAAGATGCACGATGAACACGTGCGCTGTCAGTGTCACTTGTTAACCACCGACCAGAAGACAGAAAAGCATCATTCACACGCTGAGCGATGAGTCTTTGCTGTGACAGATTCCCCTCGTCATCCTCAGCCACCTGATTCCATCTCACACACAGATCAGTTGTATCAGTGGCAGCTCGTCCTCCTTTAAAACCATCACTGACTTTCCTGGAGAGAACTCAGCTGAATGGATGCTGTTATTTCGTCCTCATGCACGTGCGCGCGCGCGCGTGTGTGTGTGTGTTCGAAGCCTCGACACGAACGTCACGTCACTAATTATGACCCCCGTGGTGTCGTTTCATTTATTGTCCACTTGATGGCGCAGTAGAGCAAATGAAGCACCGTGACGCTTCGGCCCACGTGTGACACAAATCAGGAATCAGGAAACATTTATTACCAAAAGATGCCAAACATAGAAAGGAATTTGTCTTGGCGGTTGGTACGCGACAGTAGACAGACAAGACAGCAGTGCACAAGTGATAAAATAAAGTAAAATGAAATGCTAATGCAATGGGTTAGTAGAATAAGGCTATGGGTTAGTATAAGGGAATAAAGTTAACAATTTTAAATATAAAAAAAGTTAAAAAATATATATATATTAAGCATAAAGTGCACTAACGAACAATTAACAAAGTGACGAGTGACGACAAAGTGATAAATCACAGTTAAAGTGGCATGTGCAGTGTGAAGGGGAGTAACCGGTGGAATGTTATAGTCAGTCAGTGGGGGACCGGCTCTGTTGATGAGCCGATGGGAAGAAACTGTTCGTGTGGCGGGAGGTCTTAGTCCTGATGGACCTCAGCCTCCTGCCAGATGGAAGGGGCACAAACAGTTTTTGTCCGGGGTGGGAGGGGTCGGCCACGATCTTTTTAGCACGCTTCAGAGACCTGGAAGCGAACAAGTCCTGCAAGGACGGCAGATTGCAGCCGATCACCCTCTCTGCAGAGCGGATGACCCGCTGCAGCCTGCCCTTGTCCTTGGCTGTGGCTGCAGCGTACCAGACGGTGATGGAGGAGCAGAGGATGGACTCGATGATGGCCGTGTAGAAGTGGATCATCATTGTCTTTGGCAGGTTGAATTTCTTCAGCTGCCTCAGGAAGAACAACCTCTGCTGAGCCTTCTTGGTGATGGAGGTGATAGTGACGGGGGAGTCACACAGGGTGATGGGGGAGGGTGGGGCTCTGTTTCGCCGGAAATCCACAACCATCTCCACTGTCTTTAGAGCGTTGAGCTCCAGGTTGTTCTGACTGCACCAGGACACCAGATGGTCAGACTCCCACCTGAAGGCGGACTCGTCCCCACCAGAGGTCAGTCCAATGAGGGTGGTGTCATCCGCAAACTTCAGGAGCTTGACGGACTGGTGACTGGAGGTGCAGCTGTTGGTGTACAGGGTGAAGAGCAGAGGGGAAAGAACGCAGCCTTGGGGGGAACCGGTGCTGATGGTCCGAGAGGCTGAGACATGTTTCCCCAGCTTCATGTGCTGCTTCCTGTCAGACAGGAAGTCTGTGATCCACTTGCAGGTGGAGTCGGGCACGTGCAGCTGGGAGAGTTTGTCCTGCAGCAGAGACGGGATGATGGTGTTGAAGGCACCTGATGGGCTGGGGGAGGGAGGGGAAGGTGATATAGATGAAGAGGCGTGAGCACCTGATGGGCTGGGGGAGGGAGGGGAAGGGGACTGCAGCAGGTTGGTGGAGCTGTGGGGGATGGGATCAGGACATTGTCTTTCGAATCTGCAGTAGAACTCATTGAGCTCGTCTGCCAGGCGGAGGTCATTCATGGAGTGGGGGGGTTTTGGCTTGTAGTTAGTGAGGTGTTTGAGGCCTCTCCAAACCGAAGCAGAGTCACTTGCTGAGAACTGTTGTTGGAGTTTCTCAGAGTACAGTTGTTTAGCATCTCTCACCGCCTTGCTAAACTTGTATTTTGCCTCTGTGTACAAGTCTTTGTCCCCGCTCCTAAATGCCTGATCCTTCTGCAGGCTCCGCTGTGAACCAGGGTTTGTCGTTGTTGTAACTCACCTTGGTGCATGATGGTACACAGCTGTCCTCACAGAAGCCGATGTAGGAAGTTACAGCCTCTGTGAACTCATCCAGACTGTCAGTAGCAGTCCTAACAACAAAAAACGAAGCGCACCGAAGCATCGTGGCGGCCATCAACGGCGCCATCTTGGATTCCAATTGGATGGAAAGCTTCAACGCTTCATAAAGCTTCATCTCGCCATCACTAATTATAATACGCACTTTAGACACTTCATCCTGTCGCTGATTGTGATCAGGAGCAGGTGTGTTGGCCCGAGGAACTGCAACTCCTCCACCAGCAGGACTCACGAGGAGGAGTTCATGACACCATTGCTGTGATCTATTCCTGTTTATTTAGATAGAAACATCAGCAGGACAAATACTTCACGTACAACTTTTTATCAAAGACTATATGTGGACAGTTAGATTATTCAGCTTTAAGACACTTAACTGTGGTGACTACTTTAACTATTTCAAAGATAGTTTAATTTTAATTTGATTTAAAAATTTTTAGATGAATGTTACTAATGTGATGCAGGAGGAGCATGTGGACACACGTTCCTGTAATCTCTAATATTTATTTAATTAAAGAAATGACTGTAGGAAACACTGCTTAGAGCTGCACGTTTATTGATGCATAAAAAGATTAAACATTACAAAATGTATTAAACACAAACAGGTGAAGATAAAATACAAACAGCACCTGTTAAAACTCTTAAGACAAAGAAACTTAAATGTGTCAGGATGGGCGGGGAAGGCAGGACTCAAGAGCAGAGTTTCAAAAACAAAAAGACTCAATAGTCGAAAATTCCAAAAGCAAAAAATACCAAGGGGCAAAAACGCAGACAGGAACCGGAAACACTCACATAGACTTCCAAACATTCAACAGTTACAAGAGACACACACAGCTTAAATACCCTAGGGAGGTGCAGGTGATTGGACACATTGAAACAATCATGACGACAGAAAATCACAGGGGAAGACAGGACAAGGCAGGAAGTGAAGTTACCAGGGAGACAAGAGGCAAGAAACTACAAAATAAAACAGTTAAAACTCTTAAAAAGACAAAGATCAACTTAAATGTTGGAGAAATATGTTTTTCAATAACAGATTAAATGTGTAATAAATGTGTTTTTTTATCAGAAATAAAAAAATATGACTTTATATTGAATAATATCAACGAAGTACTGAAGCTCAAAGCTCAAATATCAGGAAAGAAGAAGTTCCCACAATAATTACAATTACTCAGATGTGGTTTTTCATGTCGTCATCCGTTCCCCTGGTTCTGTCCATGCAGATGTTTTTAACCATCTGAAAAAAGAGATTAAAGGTTATTTAAGTGCTGGTAGTAATACACAAGTACACTCAGATTGTACTACATGGTGTGTTGTACTTGAAGTACCTGCAGCTGTTTCCATCCTCACATTTTCATAAACGCTCTCCTCTGGTGCATCATTCGTCCCTGTTAGAAGGATCAGATAAATGCATGAAGAGACACTTTATTCTCCTTTATTAAAGCTCTGCTGGCCTACAAAAGCATCTCAACTACTGCAGCTTGTTCCCTTATAGAAGTATTCACATTAACCATCAATGTCTTTAAGCTCAAACACAGAATCTGTGACATCATCGATACACTTTGTCTTTAATTTAAAGGACGGTCAACCAGTCACTTGATCATCTGATTCTAGTATTTTAACAGCTGTGTGATGAACACACAGGATTTACTGCACCATGTTCAGGTTCCTCAGAGCCTCCGATTGCTTCATAGAGACAAGAATCACCTGCAGAGCAGTGAGGATAAAGACGAGGTCGTATCAATCATTTGAGCCACTTTGTATCAATTATAGAATCTTCTCAAACAGATAACCAGAAATGGAAATGTTAGCATTAAAATTAAGAAGACATTATTAAATAAATCAGGATTAAAGCTGACCATGAAGAAGAGAAGAGTAATGTCCATCTTGAGTTTCACCCTGGTTGATCATGTGGTCTGTAGCTGGGCTCTGATTGGTCCTCTGAGACCTTGTGGGTCCAAAACATGAAGTAAATACAGAGGATTTAATGAGGAACATGTAAAGTCCTGCTGCCGTGTTCAGAGTGAGAGAAGAGAGGCTTGTACCAACCTGCTGAGGCTTGAAGCTGCAAGAAAAAGGTTTCACATTGATCATTAATTAGTGTGTGTAATAATATCTGTGACTTTGACTAATTTCAGTGAAATCAGTCTGATATCAGAAGGAAAAGATCTCACCTTCTGACTTTCTGTAGCGACGCAGAAACAGCAGCAGGAGAATAATCAGTAAAACTCCAGAAACCAGACCAACAACCAACGGCACGAGAAACACAGAGCTTGATGCTGCTTCTTCAGGATCTACACACAAGTACACACCAACCATGAAGAGATACACAAGTAACAATAATAATACAGTTTATTTATAACACACTCTTCATCAACAGATCTCAGAGTGTCACA